TTTTGTGCACTGCCCCAGTGAGAACGGCCCCGACGTGGCTCAGTGTTTCTTCTGCTTCAAGGAGCTCGAGGGCTGGGAGCCCGACGACGACCCCCTGTGAGTAGTGAGGGGGGGTCCCCCGGGCCCCCGCTCCCGGCGAGGGGGAACAGGGCTGGGCCATAAGCGGCGGCGGCGGCACCGCTGCTGCCCACCGAGGTGCCTGGCAGGGAAGAACGGCTGCGTGTGTCGTCTTGTGAGCTGCTTGTCTTTATTTTATTTTTTTTTTCCTTTTGCCTCTTTTCAGGGAGGAACACAAGAAACACTCTGCAGGCTGTGCTTTTCTTTCCCTTCAGAAAGATCCTACTAACCTGAGCCTGCAGGAGTTCCTGAAGCTGGACAAAGAACGAATGAAAAATGCAATTGTACGTACACATCGGCACCGTGATGTTTTTGTACACCCCTGTGATGCTGGAAGAGTTATTTCTTTTCTAGTCTTGGGATTGTTTAGCTGGCCTCTTGGTTCCTTACCACTGGGTTTGTTGCTTCCTGGCTTGTGCTGGATCAGATGGGGTGTCCTTTCCTGGTTCTCAGCCTTTGCCTGATGGGAGATGTAGCTTGCTTTCCCTTTGAAGTTGAACGATGCTCAATTTAGTGGTAGACAATAATGTGTTACTTTTATTCTTTGCAGAAAAAAGGAATTTCTCAGAAGGTGACCGAGGTTGAAGATGTGGCCAAGAGCGTGCGTCGTGAAATAGAGAATGTGGTCTCCTAGGCTACTGTAGCTTCCTACTTGCTGGTGACATCTGTCTTGTTTGTGTGCTCCGGCACTGCCACTTTGAATGGCTTGAGTTTCCTGAGACTCCTTTTGGAATGGCCGTCTCTGTGAGAAGCAGACTGAACTCTACTTCACTCACCTGAGTCTGTCTGGGAAGTACCTGGGCTTCGATGCACTGTGTACATAATCTGCAGGGTTTCTCCTGTTCTTCCTGTTGGTTTAATTAAGGATTACTACTTGTGGTTTTATTTGTTGGGTGTTTTGGTTATTTTTTAAACCCAGATGCTTCCATTTTAGAGACGCTGGTGCAAAAACTTGTGTTTCTTGCAAGAGCCGGCAGGCACTTCCATTTTTATACTGAATATACCAACGCTTTTGGACACTTTTGGAAACAAAAAGGGGAAGAAGTTTTAAAACTCCTTCAGGGATTTACAATTGTGGCTAATAATGTCTAATTGTACCAAATCTTAGTGTGTCTGGTATCCTTGTAAACTATTTGTAGCTGGCTGCTGGCTCATGCTGATTCATTTATAAATAAAAGTTGAAGGCAAAACAGCAAAGTAATTTTACTCAGTTTTCTGGAGAAAGAGAATCTGATCTTTAATGCAACAAGCTACACTGAATGCAGTTTTAACTTCCAAATGGAAAATAAGCTAATCAAGTACAGCTTGCAGTGCTATTGCTCAAGGGTCAAACTGTCCTAAGCAGTGTTTGTCAGGTGTCCTTAAAATGTCCTTGTGCCTTGGAAGGTTTGATTGGTCCCTGTCCTTGCACAACTTTGGAAACGAAAAGAAAGTTTGCAGAACAGAGCGCAGTCAGCGAAGAACTGAACTATTGGGAAGGAAAGGGGGAATCTTGTACAAAATGTTTGGTTGCTACAGGGCCCGACTTGATCATACAGGGTTGCGAAGTCTGCAGACAGAACTGGACATGCGTACTTAGGTGCTCCCAAACTCAAAAGAACCTCCAGCTCCATCCTGGGGAAAAGGCAGTTGCAATCACACACTGACGAGAGCAGTGTTCCTGGGTTTCGTAAGTTTGTCCAATGTTCCCTGTCCAAGCTTACTTGTGAACAATGAAACAACTTCATTATTTCCAGCTGTAACAGCCAAATCATATGCCGATTGCCCTTTTGCATTCTTCTTTTTTATGCTTGCATTGCAGCTGTAAATAAAGAACAGATTGTTTTAATCTACTTAAATTCATTCCCAGTTACTGGAATTAGTGAAGTGGCTTGTAGGTAAATGTTGATGCAGAATAACTTCAGAATTTCTGGATCCCTCTTCCTGCAGGGACACAACTGTGAGATAAGAGCGCTGAGCCTTGGACAGGCTCTGGCCCTTTGGTATTGCCAACTAGGTCTGTGCAGGCAGATTGTGGGGAGCCTGGAGCTGAGCTGGAGGTCCAGCTACAGTACTCACTGTAACAGGACTCGGACGCATTCCTCTCCCTCTGATCCAAGCAGAACTGCCTCGTGGAGAGCAGTGTTGTTGTGCCTGCAGAGGAGGAACAAGCACTGTACTTATTACCTAAGGAATCTGTCCCAGTACATGGAGAAATGGTCTAGCAAATTAAAGTAAGGAAAATGAATAGGAGAATGTAGAATACACTAGGAGTCGTGATTTTTTTCTGTAGGGTTTAGTGTGGTTTATCATATTAACTCGAAGTGGATGGGGCAAGGAGTTGAACAAAACAGCAGCTTTCCTAACAGAAATTATGAGAAATCTTAAAAGCTGGCAACTGAAAGAACGACTGTGAATATTATTATCTTTCCTCAGTTGCAGGTTAGTTGGTGGGTTTTTTTTAATTTGGCTTTGAAAGGAGCTCCTTGACTACAGATTTGTGGAGGAGGGGTGGGAAGTTAATCCTCTCTACAATTGGAGAACAAGGGCTTTTTTGGTAAAACTTCAAAAGCCTCAAGGCAGAGAATTGGTGCTCACTTACAGTCCTGACTGCTGGTCGATGTCAGCGCCTTTCTGCACGAGAAGGGAGATTGCTTCTGCATGCTTGTTAAGGACAGCAACCGTGAGAGCAGGTCGGTCCTCGTCGCTGACGCAGTTTGGGTCAGCTCCCTAGAATGCACAGGAGAGGGAAGGTGAGATGTTAAAAGCCATAAAGATTCTTCAGCTTCCACCTTGCTTTAATATTATGCCAATTTAAGTTGGCAAATGGACTTTATGCTGAAGACAGAGAAATGTTCAAATTGTGTGGTATTGTTTCTCCTAGCTCAAAGCCAGAGTAAATGTATATAACAAGAGCAGTCAAACTAGATCCCACAGTCAGGATGCACTTCCCGCACAGCAAAAAGGTAGAGGTTATCCTTGCTTTTGCTATACAGAGAGCTTGACCCTAAACTATGCAATTAATATATTTTTCTTTCTGTATAGCCTTGGCAAACCCAGAGGAGAATGCCTTATGCACCGGCCAAAGAGAGATTTGGGGAGAACATACATAAATGTAAAACAGGCTGTTTCTTCTCTAAAATGCTCTTTCAATCTGAAGACAATCAGTTATATTGCAAGGATGTTGCCTCCTCAGCATAAAGTTGAAGTCACATACCAGGCTAATATTCATGCAATAAATGGTCAAAGAGTTGGAAAGGGAAACTTCAGCAAGCAAGAACATACTTCACTGAGCAACTGTTCCACTAAGGTGATTCTTCCTTTCCCGGTTGGACCCAGTTCATCCAGTAGTTGTCTGGACTCCGGCTGTGGAAACACAGAAAATGGCCAGTAACATTTCACATAGGGAAAATACAAGTAGGTGGGCCATATTCTGCCTTTGAGTAAGGGTGGAAAATGCACACAGTGGCATGAATGCAGTGTAGCTGAGCCTCAGTATTACTAATACATGAGCCTTCTTTGGGAATCTCTTTCCAAATCTGAGCAAGTGTTAGATAACTCAGGCTAATATTTCATTATTGAGGCCTTGATTCAGCAAATGTGTTCAGCAAATGATTCAGCTAATGATTAGCTTTGCATCAATGCCGCTCTCCAGGGCTGTACAAAGACCTGCTCAGCACAGTAAAATTAAACATGGGCATAAGTTCTTTGCTATAGGATTAAAGTTTGAAGCTTCCAGAACTAGTGGAAGTATTTTATTAAAAAAATTAATATATTTTGCCTCACAAAGTTTGTTTACTAAATCTTAAAACAACAAACAACAAAACATAAAACCTTTTCTTTTTATTTCTTCCCAGCCTTCCACGTCCTTCCTCTCCCCCCTTGAAAGCCCAATCACTTGACCAAGCATTTTTTTCTCTGGACTCGTATCACAAAGCCCTATATCTTCTTCCACCCATTGAGTTGGCTAACTGATCCAACCTTAGGTTAACGTACATTTCCCTTTTGAAATTTCCATGCCGTAACTGCAAATCCACTTAGTAGGCAGTGCTTCAGGATATTTGGTTTCCAGTGGAAGTAAAGCCTTGCTTCTTGCATTAAACTAGCCCTCAGTTGTGCTGACATCTCAGCTTGATGGGAAAACTGAGTTGACTTAAAAGCTTGTTGAGTAGATCATCTGCCTCGTTCGCAGTCTGTGTGAACAGTAGTTCTAGCACAGCAAGGGGTATGTCCTGTGGAGTCAAACTAAGTAGTAATGTCAAGGGGAAGACTATATAATCCCTCCATCTGATGTTGCCCCTGAGAAAAACCTGTAACAAAATCAGCCTGCAACAGTCTTTAGGCCTAGTGCTGTGCCATTAAAGAGAATGGGTCCAAAAATGAGAGTTACAATATAATTAAGCTCTTAGTAGGAACAAAGCTTAGTTATTTCCAGTTCTGTAATAAAGGTCAGTTACTAATGTTCAGGTTTTATATTAAGTTTGACCTTTGTCCCCATCCCCTGCCCCCAACCAGTGTTAAAAGCTTTCTATTTTTACCCTTAGGTGCCCTCCTTCATGTTAGTGCTGCTCTAAAGGTAGTTTTTCCTGTACTGGCAGAAGATACGTACGAGGAGCTTATCTTCCTTTTCTGTAAGTGTTGTTGACTTTGTTCTCTTTATTTTGCCTCTTGAATGGAAAAGATTATGATCATCTTTGCCTACCAGAAAGGGAAACAAGTGTTAATTCAAAGCAAAGTCAGTATCCTAACAAGAATTTTGGGGAGAGATCTGGAAATAATTTATCCACAAAAGTATTTTATTTTGTGTTGAAATCAAAGCAATATTTATCAGTTTTCCACAAGAGAAAGTGATGAAATATTTGTTGCAGATCAGACTGGTTTTAACAAAAGGTTTACACTTGGGCAGTCTTAAAAACTTGCTATTTTGAAATGCAGATTCAATTAAATGTGGAGTTGGGGGGGGTTGAGTCTTTTTTTTAACTAGCTGCAGCCATTCAACAGGCTTGACTCAGGCTTGATCAAAAACCTTACAATTTTTCAATGCTGTTTGGCTCCCAAATACTTAAGAACAAGACTAGAGGACCTTGAGTAGATACATATGTCCATTATTTTTAAGAGACATAATCTACTAATGTGCAGGAGGATTGATAAGAAAATTACGCAGCATGTTGGGCTGGTGATAGCAGAGTGCCTGGAATCACAGTCACATTATTGACATGCCAAAAAAACAGCTCCTAGTGCCGTGGCTGTCTCTTGCCAAGTCTCAGACTGGAAGCACAAAGTGGACAAAACTTACACATGAATTGAAGTATGTCAAATTACACTACAGGAATTTCTGAATTCTAATGCTGACTTTACAACTAGTTGATTTAATGAAAACCTAAGTCCTATATGACATGCCTAAAAAGCTGAGCTGTTACTGACACCAATGGGAGATGCAAATTAAGCATCTCTGAAAATTAGGTCTAGAATTAATGTATTTCATAATTTCTTATCTTTGCCAAATATGCCAAAGCTGAAGTCCCTGGCACAGCTCAAAAGTAGAGATAATATTGACATTTATGGCTCCTATTGTAAAAGAATATGCAAAGCATCTAAAGTTTTATCACTATAATAAAAACACTGCTATGAGCTGTGGCTGCAGTTTACTGGCCT